GCTGGGCGATGTGGTAATAACCGAGGAGCATATTGAGCAGGCTAAAATCCTCATGATCACTGTTGGACAACTCCTCGATATCGAGCCCATCTCTCCGACTAGAGAGCAAGAAATAAAACGGAAATATGTCCAGGGCCAACCTTTGGTCGAGCCAGACGAGGTCAAGAAGCTCCCAACGAGAATGTATGAATTGCATCAATTGTACATGGACATTACCAAGATTTCCAATTGAGAGTCCCTCTTGATGAATGTCAAGAAGGATCATTACTACCATGAGAAAGCTGTGTCCGTTGAGTATCCAGAACTATTTCAGTTATACAATCAAGACGCACTCGACAAATCTATTGTCAGTTGGTATTGTCTGTAAGTGATTTCTTTCTGTAATTTAAGTCTCAAGCTAGCTGTAGTGATCATTTTGATCAATCATTACCTGTAATTATCCTCACTATATTCTTTCCTGTGGTATTATGCAGGATGAAGATTTATGAAATGAAAAAAGGTGGACGCTATGGCATTGGGTTCGTTGACCCAAATACCATTAATGAATACACATGGAAATTAGATCCATATTATGAAAAAAGTGTAGAGGAAAGCATGCTAGAGTTCTTCAAGCGCCTCAAATACAATGAAGATATACTACTTCCTTACAACTTCGAGTGAGTCACACTGTCTTGTACTACAAATTCTGTTTTTGCCTACTAGCTAGCTACATATTTTTGCTTACATATGCCCGCTTAATTAAGACATGCAAACGTGTGCGCATGCAGATTTCACTAGATCTTGTTAATCATTAAAATTGATGAAGGAACAGTTGAAGTACTAGACTCACTACTTAAAAAACCAACTGACTACACCATCGTGAAGGGGATAGTCAACAGGTAATTTCAATCATTATTAACTATATCTCGGCCTATTTAATTAGTTCATCATTTCCTGATAACAACTATTTAATAACCCATTTATTCATTTTCTTTGTCGGCGGGCAGGGCTTGGGCAAAGTTCATCAGGGTCACTCCAGACCCATGGAAAAAAAATCTGAAATGGTATCGACCCCAGGTAAGTAATTAAGTAGTACTAGCTAGCTAGCTGCCATCTCTTTAATTATCATGCTTGATTAATTATTATCTGATCAAATTCCATTCTCGTAAAGGCCCTGAAGCAGGCGCCAGGGAATAATCTGTGTGCATACTACGTTTGCGAGAACATTCGCATGATGGCGTCCGAAAGGAGCAGATCTCAAAGACAGGAGTGGGTACGTTTGTCAGAACACTATTCATAATTTTTACACTATTATCGATATCTAGTCACACAACTAATACATATGCATATTGATCTCCTTCTTGACAGTTTAAAGAGGTGCGGGAGAAGCTCCTACCAGAGGACCGCATAGAAGCAATTCAAGAGGAAATAGCGGGATTTTTGCTCCACCAGGTCATAGATCCCAAAGGAGAATACTTTTACCCGCTACCGCCCCCATGAACCACTTCCAATTGTTATCGTGCTCCGAAGGCACCAATTAGGCTAATGCCACTGGCTTCGAAGGCACCAATTAGGAGAAATTATATATAGCTAGCTAATTGTATATATATATATATATACACACATGTGTGTATATATGTGTGAATTAACTAATGGTGGTTGTGAGACATTCGATGATATATATATATATATATATATATATATGATCGGTTCTACTAGAAATTCTATTTATATATATGCATAACGTGTACAATATGTAGTATCATAAAATACCAGCAAACGAAAAAGAATTAAATGGAAAACACAAAATTAAATGAAAAAGAAATCATAAACCCAAAACCCCCAACCTTTTAATACCGGTTGGTGTCACCAACCGGTACTAAAGGGTTCCCTGCCCCCGGAGCTGGCTCGTGCCACGTGGTTGCCCTTTAGTATCGGTTCGTGCTGAACCGGTACTAAAGTGGGGGACCTTTAGTGCCCACACTTTAGTGCTGGTTACCGAACCGGCACTAAAGGGCCTTACGAACCGGTGCTATTGCCTGGTTCTGCACTAGTGACCGCAACAGTGTTATGCCAAAAACTTTGCTTTGCGGGACCCAATGCCACTATCGTCGTCTCCCGACGGCCTCCTCGTGTCCCAGCATGCCATGCCCCGAGCTTCTCACCACCGCCCGCGTGCTCCCCACGGCACGGCGTTGCCGTGGCCAGCACGTCTGTAGCCCAGCCGCTTGCTGCCAAGCCGCCCCCACTTCTCGAGCTCCCACGCGCGCCCGTGAACCTCCCAGCCCCCCTAATCCTCTCCCAACACCCGCAAAATTCCAAGACACCGCTAGCGTGCCCCCGGACCCCGGCCAGAGAAGCGTGGTGACCAAGTCGATCCGCCAATGCTGGCCATCTGTTTAAGCCACCCCCGCACCTCACAAATGCCACACACCTCTCCCTCACCATCCTAGCAACCTCCTTGCACACCCACATGAGCTCCCGGGCTCGTAGTCCACCACCACATCCGCCATTGCCGCCACGGACTTCCCTTAAATTCAAGCCACCCAACCAACCCCCTGTGTATCCTAGCTACACCCAGAGACCCCGACGATCGTCACAGCGCCACCCATAACCTCAAATTCGACGAGGGACCACCGGAGCTTCGACAAAGCATTTCCTTTCATAAAAGGTAAACTTTACTTAATCTAAAAAGATGTCCAGACAAGCATAAAAACAATTTAAATTTCAAGCACTATCCACAACAGTTTCAAGCAGAAATGCCATATCATTTGCACATTGCTACATAACCAGCCCTCCATATTCTAAATTAGGCACTACCCCTAGTTCTTAGCCCTACTAATCAGTTCTTGCAGCACATCAATAGCAATGATAATCATGTTATTACGGAGGATATGGTGTTTACGGATATGAAACACTTCATGGCAAGTCGACTCCATCTACAGAAATATCAAAGGACTTTCTTGTGCAGCTATTTAAGTTCCTATACTCAGGCACAAAACTATGGAATAGAGGATATTATTAAAGGGAAGATGAACATCAGAGAGCCCTATAGGGCGGTTCCTGTGGTGAAGCAAAAGAAATCGTGGCCAAAACCCCCGCCTAGCTGGGTTGCGCTATCGGTAGATGGGTCCTTCGTCAAGGAAACCGGATCAACAAGCTCAGGTATGGTATTGAGAAACTCAGATGGTGGAGTCATTTTCTCAGCCTATAGATACCCGTTTCATTGTCAGGATGCACTCGAGTCTGAAATAAGTGTTGTATTGGAAGGTGTCTCATTCAGTATACAACAGTCAGAGCTACCCATTATGATTCAATTTGACAGTGTTGTTGTAATAGCTGCGTTGATGGATGTTTCTCTGAATAAATCTGCCTATGGACACCTTATAATGAAAGTCAAGAAGCTTTTGGAACCCCGTGATTTTATTCCGCAGAAGATTGATTGCATTCAAAATAGTGTTGCATATAGTTTAGTTAATATTGGTAGATCCGGAGGGCGCACCGCTTTTTGGTTGCGCCGTGTGCCAGACAGTGTTTCTAATTTTGTTTTAGTGGATTGTAACACTATTTCAGAGGAATAAAATCATACCCTTCTCGCAAAAAAAAATAGCAATATTAGATAGGATAGGTGAGAGGGGATCCCCTGCCTCAACCCTTTCCATGTTTCAAAATATAAGGACCTACTTGTCTATTGACCATAACCGCCAGACTACCACTCTGCACAATCTGTTTAATCCAGCTAATATACTTGGTAGGAAAACCTTTCAATTCTATCACATCAAATATAAAATCCAGCTGATTTTACCACACGCTTTTTGAAAATCGTTTTTAAACATCACTACAACATTTTTCTTTTTTATGAATTTCATTCAAGACCCCACACAAAAGTAACAGCAGATTTTCTCATATAGCTACCTTTAATAAAAACTTGTTAGTACAGGAGCTACAATCTTAGGAGCTATAACAGTAGTTCTATTGTTCACTGATGATGACATTTAGGCAACAAAGTTAGGATTCCATAGTTCAATCTAGACGAGTCAATTCTACCATGGGAAATCCATTAAACAAATGCAACATAGAATCTCCTACTACCATATACAAACACCTGAAATTGGAATAAGTGTAGATACTTTGCGAGCATGAGCTCACCCGTGAGAGAGCAAAATGAAGGATGCAAAAACGAAAGCAACCACACGCACCTAAAACGACACAGGCCAATTGCTTGAGCCGAGCAGCCGACCTCCACAGTTGAACACGATCTAGCTTACCTAGACAGAAAACGGGAACATCATCTTTGCTTAATTAGGAAGCAATACTTCGCATCGGCACACAAAAACATATCGGGGACGACGAGAAACAAAAACGGAATCATGCATAGACGAGCTAGCAGTAGATACATTTTGTTTCGGCCGCTGGATGGAACGCATCGGCCATTTCGATGGCGCTGACAAGCTTTGGCTTTGCCCGTGCATGCGATGCAGCTCCGACCGCAGCCAAAGGCTCCAGTTGCGTGGTCTTCTAGGCACTTCCACCCACCGGCGTCCGTCCGGTTTCACACGCGGCGGCTGCTCCGGCCTGCTGACCTGTGGGCTCCTCCGTCCCATCCCGGCGACGAGTCACCGGGCCGTAACCCGGCCCACGTGTACCGCTGCGGCGATCCACGTCGACGCCCGGCAGCACGGGGGCTCCCGCTGGCCCCCGGGGCCCCCCTCGTTTCACGAGCCGTCGCGCTGCATGCTGGGCGCCGCACGCGGCGGCTCCACGTGTCCACGCCCCCGCTGCTGCGTGGAGGGAATAGAGGCCTCCCTGTGCATACGCGCGACGTGGCCGCGCCGGACGGGCCAGATGCTCCCCATCCGGCCGCAGAGGCGCCGGTGCACGGTACCACCTGTCCGAGGCCCTCGCGCCGCCTCCGGGGAGAGGATATTTAAAGCGGGGGCAGGGGCCCCGCCGTACTCTCGCTTGGCACCGCTCTCCGGCTTGCGCTCGAGATCTCATCCGATCCTCACCGCCCCCCACCCATGCCGACTGATCACGGCAGCAGCAGCGACGGCGGCCACCAGGCGCAATGCCGGCGGAGGGGCGCCAGCGTCGACGTCGAGCTCCGCGCCGCCATGGCGCTGGCCGACATGGCGGGGGCCGGGGCCGGGGCGGCCGCCGACCACGCGCTCCCGGCGCAGCGCCTGCGCCACGCCGCCGCCCCAGCGGCCCAGGTATTCGATTTCGCCGATTGGGTAGCTGGCCCTATTTTGGTTTTCGGTTTGGGAGGATTCCGATTGATTTGGCCGGCCGTGCGTGGGTAGCAGGCGGCGATGGAGCAGGAGGACGAGGAGCTGGCGAGCACGAGGCTGAGCCTTGAGCTGGGCAACGTCGGCATCCAGTCCTCCCCTTGCTCCAGCAGCTCCAGCGGCGCCGGGCAGCAACCGCCGCAGTCGTCGGCGGCCGTGACGGGATACGGCCTCAGCAGACCGCGGCACATGCTCACCGAGGTAATTAACCCGCTCACTTCTTACGTTGCATCGATCAACCCCTGCAAATTACACCCGCATCTCCACCGGCACGTCGTCTGAACCGCCAATCGACGAAACATTGCAGGCGGAGAAGGAGGCGAAGCGGCTGCGGCGCGTGCTCGCGAACCGGGAGTCCGCCCGGCAAACCATCCTCCGCCGCCAGGTGACTAATCGCTAGCTAGCCCGAATCCATATGTAAATTAATTACTACTACAGCTGCTGTGGCATCAACTGTGTCTGATCATTCTGATACGATTCGCGCCGTGTCGTCGTGTCCAGGCGATCCGGGACGAACTGGCGAGGAAAGTCGCGGATTTAGCGTCGCAGAACGAGAACATGAAGAAGGTACTCTAATTAAGCAGCGTCATGTGTATTCCTGGAGTATCTTGAAATGTCAGATCACCATCAAGTTGCTTAATTAATCCCGAACGGTGCAGGAGAAGGACAAGGTGCTGGAACAGTACCTCACGCTCAAGGAGACGAACAAGCAGCTGAAACAACAGGCACATCATCTATCGCTTTCATTCCTTTAATTTCCTTCCCTTTTCCCCGTCATCCATTATTAGTACTCCCCCTGCTACCACCATTGTTAGGCAACGGAAAAGAAAAGAAAAGAAATCCCAGAAGGGAACCTAGTATGTTCCAATCCAGCTCCAGTTGTGCCCCCACGAGAGGACTACAGTCACGCTGCAGTACACCTATGCTAGTACGAGTACTAATTATGGTGAAACCGGGGGCCTGTCAATCGCTCATGTCTGTATATTATTTACATTTTGCTCTGACAGTGATGTTCGGACAATAATATACTCTATGTGCCCTCCCTTCTGTATTTGTCTTTTGCTTCTTTGGGTATGTGCTTGCTTTCTCGGCGCCAACAGATGCGTGTGCGCCAACTTGCTGATGCGTCCGCATATCTGTCCAGCCGGGTGGTCGGCCTAGTCGGTTCCGCGATCGGGATCCGGTGGAGGATTGCGGCACGGGTTTGGCCGTGCTCGTCCAGGTAGAGGTCATGTGTACGTACGTAGCTCGGTGCATCATTGACGGACAGGTGACGATCCACGGTTGGGCAAGCGGCCAAACAGCATCGCGACTTCAGATCGATCTCGGCCTCGGAGGCTATTGTATTCGGTCTGGATAAACTCTGGTGCGAGCTAGCCGGGCGTCCACCCTTCGCGAAATTTCCATGGATGCGGTGACACGCTGCACCGGATCAAACCGGCAGGATGCTGATAGAATCTCGGCAAACTTCGTCACGGGTGTATCTTTAAAGTCTAAACCAAGAAACGGAAGCAGTCCATTCTAGAATTATTATTTGGATTTTCTTTTTAAAAAAGCGACCAATCGGTGCAAACACATGCCGGCCTCGCCATGCATGCGCCATGTCGGCGGCGGGTGAGCCATACAAAATGTTGATGCCATGGCAATGGCATGCAGCAACGGTTGCACGCGGCAACAGTGGTTCCTCTGAACGATTCTTCATCTTTTTCCACATCTTTCGACAGATCTGGAAACAGTGAAATTCGTTGAATATGATCGTTGCACGTTTCTCTAGTCGGCGGGCAGCTGGCTCTTCATCAGGCACTAATAATAATAGTTAAATAACATGCGTTCGCTAGACGGAACACTAGTTTTCTCGCTACGTAACTGTGGAAGAACATGCGGAATCTTTTCTCGTGCCTGAACTTGTCACACGCAAAGTAAGTGTAAGTGCTGAGTCGGGTAACTTTTTTGTCTGTCTTTGCAGGTGGCCAAGACGACCAAGAAGAAGCCGTCGTCTACACCAGCGATCACGCCCATGGACATCGCGCCGCCGGCACAGAGCGCGGAGGCCACCCCGCCACAGACGCCGCCGCAGCCAAGCTTCCTGTACAGCGCGCCGCCGACGTCCATGCCTGTGCCCTACGTCTGGGGCTCCTGGCCCCCGTGCGGGCCGGGGGTGTACGAGCATGGCGGCAACCCGGCTGGCATGGCGGGACACGCTCCGCCCCCGCTCTGCGTCCCGCCGGCCTGCGCGTGGTACTACCCCGTCGTCGCCGCTGCCCGCGGCTCGCCCCCGGCCTACGTGCAGCCGTTCCAGGAGCCGACAGGCAGTGGCGGGACGGCCGGGGAGGACACCGACGACGACCCTTGCTCGCTGACCCTCGCCATCGATGCTGCCGACAAGAAGAGCCCCGCCGCCTGTCCCAACGCTTACCAAAGTGGCAGCGGCGTGGTGGGGGCAGTGGGGCTGCAGGTCGCGCTTAGCGGCAGAGAGAAGGCGGCGACGGCGGCGGAGGCGAGGAAGAGGCGGAAGGAGCTCACCAAGCTGAAGCAGATGCACGCCGGAAGCCGCTATGGCGCTGGCGAGCACTGGTGAGCGAGCTGCTAATCATGGCAGGTTACTAGGTGATCGAGGACGCATGCATGCATGGCACTACTGCCGCTGAGTCACTGACAAGGCATCGGTGATCAACTGATGATGACGATTGGTTCCTTGGACGCAAGCAACAGCACTGATATTAGTACAGCTCCTACCAATTTTTCTAATGTTCTTAATATTTGCATCGCGTTTGTCTAGGAACGTAGGTTTGCATTTCAGTTACGCCCCAAGGCACTGAAGAAATGTGTTCGGTTTTGGTTTGAGATTCTTTGGTGCAATCTGTAACCGGATAAATAACTAGTGGTCCGATCATGTATAGCACCGGAGCTGTGCGTAATGTAACGATTCTTTACGTCCCAGCAGCATTTTTTTGTATGTTCAGTACCACACACAACAAAGTAAATCAAGCGAAGTAAGGATAATATCTATTCTCGTTGTCCTAACATGGCTCGTCACCTAAACTTGAATCTGAAATATACCGGGGACTTAGAGTAACTTTAGCAGATTCTCTTGTAAACAGTCTTGCCAAGTCTCAGATTCTCTTGTAAACAGTCTTGCCAAGTTTGAGTCGATGCTACGTACGCGAGATCTTTAAGATCCGTGCATTTTTTATTCGGTTTTTTCTTTTTCTTTTGCATTTTACGTCACTTGATTTAGAGACAAAGAATCGGTTAAATGTTAGTTGACTGAGATCTAGCCACACCTATCTATAGAACCTCATAATTCTTATAATTTTTGAATGTTTTATTTTTCGACCATGATAAAAAAGACCCAGCCCGTAAGAATATACAAAAGGACCTTATATTTCTGACTTCGCCACTATATTTACTGGATCCTGGCCAATTTAGGGTTCCCATCCGGCATTTCTCCAACCCATCTCTGTCGCAATCCCCATACTCCGATGATTGATTCTTGCACACACACACACCCGTTTAGAGCATATCAATGGCGGCCGAGGTCGCCAAAGAGCGCGGCGCCCTTTCCTGCAACCACGGCTGGAAAGCGTGCCAAAGAGCGGAGCCCTCTCCTGCAACCATGGATGGAAAGCGTGGAGCAGCTTCCATGACCGCAAGGTGGAGATCGAGCTCGCCACCGCGAAGGACATTGTAGCGGCCGGTGAAGACTCCGTCGAGCAGCTCGAGAAGGCGAAGAAGGGGTACGAGCTCGCATACATTCTCTACGGGGTGGTGATCGAGTTCTATCTCAGTTTTACCTCAACACGAAGCCCTAAACTAGCTTAGATCAGGTTTTAGTTACTATGTTTTTAAGTTTGTATGTTTGAATGTATGAACTCTGGTGATGAACTATCTTTATGTTTCAAATATGCAGTATGGTTTAGCGAATCTATTTTGTCGTGCCTTCCGCAGTACCGCAAATTTGTTTATATTGATTTCGAGAGAGTACAAGTTGATCGGAGTACAAGTTACATCTTGATCTACCGCGAAATTGAAGGAAATATGCCCTAGAGGCAATAATAACGTTGTTATTTATATTTTCTTATATCATCATAAATGTTTATTATTTATGCTAGAATTGTATTAACCGGAAACTTAGTACATGTGTGAATACATAGACAAACAGAGTGTCCCTAGTATGCCTCTACTTGACTAGCTCGTTAATCAAAGATGGTTAAGTTTCCTAGCCATAAACATGTGTTGTCATTTGATGAACGGGATCACATAATTAGAGAATGATGTGATGGACAAGACCCATTCGTTAGCTTAACACTATGATCGTTTAGTTTATTGATATTTCTTTCTTCATGACTTATACATGTTCCTATGACTATGAGATTATGCAACTCTCGAATACCGAAGGAACACTTAGTGTGCTATCAAACGTCACAACGAAACTGGGTGATTATAAAGATGCTCTACAGGTGTCTCCGATGGTGTTTGTTGAGTTGGAATAAATCGAGATTAGGATTTGCCACTCCGATTGTCGGAGAGGTATCTCTGGGCCCTCTCGGTAATGCTCATCACTATAAGCCTTGCAAGTAATGTTGGGGAACGTAGTAATTTCAAAAAAATTCCTACGCACACGCAAGATCATGGTGACGCATAGCAATGAGAGGGAAGAGTATCGTCCACGTACCCTCGTAAGCAGAAGCGTTATGAGAACGCGGTTGATGTAGTCGTACGTCTTCACGATCCGACCGATCCAAGTACTGAACATACGGCACCTCCGAGTTCAGCACACGTTCAGCTCGATGATGTCCCACAAACTCCGATCTAGCAGAGCTTCACAGAAGAGTTCCGTCAACACGATGGCGTGATGACGGTGATGATGTTGCTACCGACGCAGGGCTTCACCTAAGCACTGCAACAATATGATCGAGGTGGATTATGGTGGAAGGGGGCACCGCACACGGCTTGGAACAATCAACTTGTGTGTCTTCGGGTGCCCCTGCCCCCATATATAAAGGAGTGGAGGAGGGGAAGGACCGGCCCTCTACTATGGCGCGCCCTGGGGAGTCCTACTCCCACCGGGAGTAGGATTCTCCCCTTCCATGTAGTATGAGTAGGAGAGAAGGAAAGGGAAAAGAGAAGAGAAGGAAGGAGGGGGCGCTGCCCCTCCCCTTAGTCCAATTCGGACTAGGCCTTGGGGGGCGCGCAACCTCCCCTCTCTTTTTCCCCTAAAGCCCAATAAGGCTCATATACTCTCTGGCGAATTCCCGTAACTCTCCGGTACTCCGAAAAATACCCGAATCACTCGGAACCTTTCCGATGTCCGAATGTAGTCGTCCAATATATCGATCTTTATGTCTCTACCATTTCGATACTCCTCGTCATGTCACCGATCTCATCCGGGACTCCGAACTACCTTCGGTATATCAAAACACATAAACTCATAATACCGATCGTCACCGAACGTTAAGCGTGCGGACCCTACGGGTTCGAGAACTATGAAGAAATGACCGAGACTCATCTCCAGTCAATAACCAATAGCGGAACCTGGATGCTCATATTGGTTCCTACATATTCTACAAAGATCTTTATCGGTCAAACCGCATAACGGTATACGTTGTTCCCTTTGTCATCGGTATGTTACTTGCCCGAGATTCGATCGTCGGTATCTCAATACCTAGTTCAATCTCGTTACCGGCAAGTCTCTTTACTCGTTATGTAATGCATCATCCCGCAACTAACTTATTAGTTACATTGCTTGCAAGGCTTATAGTAATGTGCATTACCGAGAGGGCCCAAGATACCTCTCCGACAATCGGAGTGACAAATCCTAATCTCGATCTATGCCAACTCAACAAGTACCATCGGAGACACATGTAGAGCACCTTTATAATCACCCAGTTACGTTGTGACGTTTGGTAGCACACAAAGTGTTCCTCCGGTATTCGGGAGTTGCATAATCTCATAGTTATAGGAACATGTATAAGTCATGAAGAAAGCAATAGCAACAAACTAAACAATCATCATGCTAAGTTAACGAATGGGTCAAGTCAATCACATCATTCTCTAATGATGTGATCCCGTTAATCAAATGACAACTCATGTCTATGGTTAGGAAACATAACCATCATTGATTCAACGAGCTAGTCAAGTAGAGGCAAACTAGTGACTCTCTGTTTGTCTATGTATTCACACATGTACTAAGTTTCCGTTAATACAATTCTAGCATGAATAATAAACATTTATCATGATATAAGGAAATATAAATAACAACTTTATTATTGCCTCTAGGGCATATTTCCTTCAGTCTCCCACTTGCACTAGAGTCAGTAATCTAGTTCACATTGTCATGTGATTTAACACCAATAGTTCACATCTTTATGTGATTAGTCCACATCTCCACGTGACTAACACCCAAAAGGTTTACTAGAGTCAATAATCTAGTTCACATCGCTATGTGATTAACACCCAAAGAGTGATCATGTTTTGCTTGTGAGAGAAATTTAGTCAACGGGTCTGCAACATTCAGATTCGTATGTATTTCACAAATTTCTATGTCTACAATGCTCTGCACGGAGCTACTCTAGCTAATTGCTCCCACTTTCAATATGTATCCAGATCGAGACTTAGAGTCATCTAGATTGATGTAAAAAGCTTGCATCGATGTAACTCTTTATGATGAACTCTTTTATCACCTCCATAACCGAGAAATATTTCCTTAGTCCTCCAAGGATAATTTTGACCGCTGTCCAGTGATCTACTCCTAGATCACTATTGTAATCCCTTGCCAGAATCATGCTAAGGTATACAATAGGACTGGTAAACCATAGCATACTTTATAGAACCTATGACTGAGGCATATGGAATGACTTTTCATTCTCTTTCTATTTTCTGTTGTGGTCGGGTTTTGAGTCTTTACTCAACTTCACACCTTGCAACACAGGCAAGAACTCTTTCTTTGATTATACCATTTTGAACTACTTCAAAATCTTGTCAAGGTATGTACTCATTGAGAAAACTTATCAAGCGTCTTGATCTATCTCTATAGATCTTGATGCTCAATATGTAAGCAGCTTCATCGAGGTCTTTCTTTGAAAAACTCTTTTCAAATACTCCTTTATGCTTTCTAGAAAATTCTACATTATTTCTGATCAACAATTTGTCATTCACATATATTTATCAGAAATGTTGTAGTGCTCCCACTCACTTTCTTGTAAATACAGGCTTCACCGCAAGTTTGTATAAAACTATATGCTTTGATCAACTCATCAAAGCGTATATTTCGACTCCGAGATGCTTGCACCAGTCCATAGATGGATCGCTGGAGCTTGCTCACTTTGTTAGCACCTTTAGGATCGACAAAACCTTCTGGTTGCATCATATACAACTCTTCTTTTAAGAAATCCATGAAGGAATACATTTTTGACATCCATTTGCCAGATTTCATAAAATGCGGCAACTGCTAACATGATTCCGACAGACTTTTAAGCATCAATACGAGTGAGAAAATCTCATCGTAGTCAACACCTTGAACTTGTCGAAAACATTTTGCGACAATTCGAGCTTTGTAGATAGTAACACTACTATCAG